ATTCAGTGTTCCCGAGTGTCTATCATAATATTTAAGGCAGTTGAATATTTTACAAATGAATTATCAAAATTACAATTAGCTTTAAATTTTGATATTGAAGTGATATATTGTCATTTTTTTTAGAGCCTGCAATGGAAATTTGATTTGTGGGGAAAAAATTTGCCAAATAATGGTCAATTTAAGGGAAATCATACAAAGCAAAACTAAGCAATTACCTTGAAAATAATTTCTTATGCCTTGCAAAGACACATCCATTATTCTAATCCTGATTTTATTTTAATTAATTAATAGTGTATACATTTTTCTACACGTGCACATATGCCACATGCCTAATTTTAATGATTTATTAAGCAGTTTTGCAATTAAACTTACTACTAATTTTTTGTTTACAACACTGATAGCATATTACTTTAAAACTTATGACAGAATTTACAATAATAATTTCCAAACTGATATTACGAAATGAACTATAGAATGGAGAGAAACAACCTGATCTAGAAGTTAAGTGTCTAATTTAAAAAAAAAAAAAAATATCCTTTCCAGAAAATTGCAAAACTGTGTCTAGTTATAACACAATAGTTGGAAAATACTGGATTTGAAGCAAACAGACTATGGTCTATCATAAACGGATATGTAACATAAATCATAAATGGATTCAGCACATCATCAACAATCTGAAACATGAAGAAAGATCTCAAAACTAGAGAACTGAGAATTTTGACCTGGATACAGTCAATAATAGACAGAAAATGAATGTTCTCTGAAATAAATTCAAATGATTAAAATAGCTATTAAAAATCATTAAAATCAAAAGACATATCTGATATATAATCCATATTACACTGTTCTAAGAATTCTGAGATATTTTTCACAATGAGAAAAGTTAAATACTTTTTAATGACTATCTTTATTATATCTGGTAGAGATTAATACTGAATTAATTGTAATAATGTCTACAACAGTGAAATGCTGAAGTGGTTATACATGCACACATATTTTTATGTACGGATAATGTTGACAAAAAGGATTAGAAATTGGTGTTGACTGATATCATAAACAAAGTAAAACGGAAGTACTCTTATATACGCCCTCGCTTGGCGACAAATTTCTCGCCAAGTATTTTTGGTGAATTTTTTAACAATGAATAGATAGAAATATTTTCGTAGATAGATGCCGGTTCTCGGTTCAGGATGAAAGGAGGGGTGAATGCTAATTTGTAACATGGCTGTTCACATTGTGTTTTTAATTATTAACAGCTCTAAGAACCATGAGGTTTCCAACGTCTAAAATAATTTGTTTTCGTAGACCGCAAAAATGTGCACGTGCATATTAAATACAGTCAAAAGTCGTTAATTCGGACACCCATAATTCGGAATGATCTATAATCCGGACCTCAAAACTAAAAACTTTCTGCGCATGCGCCGCGTTGACACATGCGCATAGGCGTTTACGCGTGCGCGTAAGACCTTTTACGACTGCGCATATGAGTGTGCGCAAGTGCAGAATATGTTTTCGCGTGCGCGTTTTATGTATAATAGACGTATAAGCTAAAATTATCTAATTATCTATTTCAGTTAATGTTGATGATTGCGTTGTTCCTTAATTTTTGAATTGGATCCATCTTATTATTTTTTGCAGACTGTAAGAGCAATTTTATAAAAGTAAGCTTAAACTTTCGATTATATCAAATAGAATTTCCGATATATATTTGTTAATATGTAAAGGATCTAAAGCGAAAGTATGTTTTGAAATCCAAAATCTGTTTATCAATTTCACGCTGCTCGGCGGGGGGAACGCAACGGCGGGCGCGTAATGAATTGGAAGTTGATTTTTCAGCACTATCCTTATCTTCAGCGCAGATGTTTTTATTTTATTTGGCTTATAATTCCTTACCAAATGTAGTATTTCATCTCGATATGCTCCGTCTTTGATATGATTTAAAACAAGTTTCTCGTCATTATAATTCGCTCGCTTCCGATAGCGAAGAAAAAGTAACAGAGGTTATTGAAAACGAAAAAATTTCGATTGACAAAATTAGTCGGTGTTCTTGACACAGCAATTATAGGACTTGAACAGCGGAACTTTATACTGAACAAGAAATTATGTCTGTTTAATAGAATTAAAGAGAAAAGTATTATCACATGAAACGAAGCAAAATTTAAACAACTTACATTGAAAGAAATGTTTAATAAAGTAAACAAATAAATATTAAGCTTTTTCTTTTTGCAAATTTTGATACCCTTTAGATCATAACTTTCTTTATTTGATAAATTACGGTTTCATATTTTTAATTTTAGAATTTCTGCATGCCATCTTACGAGATTTAAACTGATGATCTATAATCCGGAAAAATCGATAATCCGGAGTCGCCGAAGTCCTGACGAGTCCGGATTAACGACTTTTGACTGTAATTAAGTAATGCTTTTATTTTTATTATTGGCTATTGTCATCTAAAATTATGAGAATAAATCAATTTTTACGGCATAAAATTTTAACAAGATTATATATTGTTAATGCTTTTCTAACAATAACCTTTCAGAGGATGGCAGGTGTGACATAAATAGATGATTAAATTGAAATAAAAAATATTATTGATTATCTAAGATGACAGGATAGTTTGATGCATCACCATGGTGTAAGGAATATATTAAATTAATTTTATATGGGTACGCTTCAGATCATCTAGTATGTACTTTTTAGTGTTAAGGTTTTAAGATTTGTATGTTTGTCTTTTCGAATGAGAAGATGAATATTTTATATGGTTACCCATAATTAGCAAACCACTGCTGGTGTAAGGAATATATTGTTTTCTGTGTTAACTGGAATTTAAGACAATTTTTTTTGTATATCGCTTTTAACCAGTTAATTTCAGTATATTAATACTAATTTATATTTTCTAAATGAATTTTTATTTTTGTTCTAAATGCTTATATATTGTCTTATGCTTAATAATATATTGTTTTCTGTGCTAACTTGAATTTAATACAAATTTATTTTCGTATATCACGTTTAACCAGCTAGTTTTACATCTACATGCTTATTATCTGTGAATTTTTACTACCATATGCTTAATATATTGTTTTGTCTGCTAACTTCAATTTACATGCACTAAAAATCATGTTTACAAAATATAACGTTTACGGCTTGGCTCATCGTCGATGAAACGCGAGCTTCGCGAGTAAAAATGCAACGGTGCCAACAGGTTCTCTGCGGATGCAAACCCGAAATTTCAAACATACACTTCGATCCCCATAAGCATACCCGTGAACGAAAGACTCGTTAATAACTCCAACATCGTACCTTTTAATACTAAATTTACTTTCCACACAATCTAAATTACAACACTAAAATCGGTACTTTTCCGTTTTGCCGGCGCAAATCTCGCCAAGCAGACTTTGTTGGCGACAACAAACAGTATACACAAAAAATGTTAACAAATGTTAGTTCTAAGAACTTTTTATTCTGAAGGCATAAACATTTTAATATGGTTTAAAATTTTGTAAAAAGCCAATAAATAAAGACAAATTTGTAAAAAGACATAAATTTAAGAATTTGTTATGCTTTCATGGTTCAAATTCCTGGTTTGCCGGCTGGTCGTATCTCACGTAAACTACTCTACAAAAATCTAATTCTCTCAATAATTATCTACATTAATTTCAAGTTAAATCTTAATTTGGAATACAAATTTAAATGTAAGAATTATTTCCATTCGTTCGAATAGCTTATTCAGAAATTATGCAAAACTGCAGTGCTTTACTTCACTAATGCATTCTCATTAGAATTCATGAACTTAACACTTGACTTTGCCTTTTCTATATTTTCGCCATCGGGTGATCGGTTTGATTGCATCCTAATTGACTTAATTACTTCGAATAGTCTTAGGGCACAAAATTCAACTATCTTGTAAAAATCTATATAATTGTATGGCAGTATTGAAAGATAATCTGCTAATGGGAAATGGCTGCGACTTGTTTTGAAAATGAGGCATAAAAGGTTACCAGCACAGATATTCCGTTTGGCATCAGTTGTACCATTATTGGCGACTTTATCGCTTGCGCCGGCAAAACGGAAAAGTACCCTAAAATCTTTCCACCACGTCTATCATTGCAACATAGGTCATTTCAAAACACGCACGACACGAACCAATGAGCAATTAAACCACTAGAGCAAAAGAGTTAAATTTCAATATCAAAAGGGTTGCCATACAAACAACATCATTCCCAAAACCAGCGCAGAACACATATCGCCACATTTGGTGATCTTAGAGCATATATAAGAGTAGAGCCAGTGAAACACTTGCTATACTAAAGAAAATAACCATTAAAAACAGAAAAACAAAAATTGTTTCAAATTTTCAATGATGTCAAACACATAATTTTGGTTATTGTATTAATGTCTTCAGACGCTAATGTGATTAAATATAATTTAGAGGGCCTGGGCAGCAATCCTTTTAAAGGGCCCAAAATATAAACTGTGTTTTTATGAGTGAAATAAAACAAGGCTATGACGAGTTACTGGATGATTTACAAGCTTTAAAAATCTGTGTTAGGCAGTAAACAATCTCTAAATATGAATGAATATTTATGGTCATTATAAGTGCAATCTACGAGCAAAACAGCTTGCCAGACAGTAGGTTCTTGGCCAATGTTCATGTCAAACTTATTATTTAGTATAAACGATATGCAAGAGAATGTAAATTTCACTGTGAATAACGAGTATAATGTAAGTATTCACTCAATTTTGTGACGCTACATTTAAATCTTTTACATCAAACGCTTTCACAAGCAGAATGTTTTGATTCCTTATTAATCTTTATTTAACCAACAGAAATTAAATTAAACCTACACAACAAATACTGAGCCATGGTTAAAAAAAAATGAGTGTTTATTCAGTTTTGTGAACCACTGCAGATGTACCAAAACCACATGTTTTCAGGAGACAATACTATTTATTTTGCATAAATGTACTATGGAATACAATTTCAGTCTGTTATAACTTACCTTGAAACAGCTAAACGTGTAGACGTTTCGTCATATCCTATACATCTAATAGCTTTCGGCTGTGGGTCAAAAAAATTAATTCTATGAACACGTAAGGATTTCATCTTGACATAAAATTTGTAAACATTCCGCAAACACGTGCGTCCGAAAGTGGCAGTTAAAGTTGCAGCTTTAATATAAGTACCGAAGAGATAAATACGGAAATTTTTTACCACCGAAATGAAAACGTATTACTAAATATAGTTTTTAATGCATTGTATTAGCTCATATTAAAGTATCAATATTTATTCAATTACATTAATATTCATCATTATTTTATTCAAAGTCATAAAACACGTGCTTTCGTAAACTTGTTTACATAGTGAGTGATAAACAGATGCCTTAGGCGAAATGATCTTTAATCACTGGAAATACTAACGTTTTGAGTTAAGCACGGAATTTGAATTTGCGTTATGATGGATAAAATTGTGAAACATAAGTTACATAAACCTAATCATAATGAAGTCGCGGAAGGTAAGCTGCTAATTTGTAATTTGTTGTGGCATTCTAATTAATAAAAATAATTTACGTTAAGGTACGGTTTAGAAAGGGGAGGGGGATGAGTGTCAATTTATCAACTTAAATAATCTGAATATTTTAGATGAAAATATGATTTCATATTTACTTTTATATAACTGCACATATTATTCCATTGCATTTAAAATTCACTTGTTAGTTACGTTGTCATATCTTGGAGGTAAAACTGGAAAAATGTTTTAAGATGCATGTCTACACATGGGTACACATGTCCAAATTTTACTCATTTAAAATTTTTTATAATTATTATTGATATCATTTTAAATATGTTAAATTTCCACATATGTATGTATATATATATATATGGAAAGATATAGCCAGAAATTGAAATGAAATTAATTGTATTCTAATTTGTTTAGCATAACAATTGTGAAAAGTTTTTGATTGAGATGCAGTTTAAAAGTCTAAAAAACTTATTTTAAAACGAGGCATTTAAGTGTTTCTTCTTGGAGGCAAATTAAAATAACCTTGCTTAATGCATTAATGCAAGGAGTGTTATAAAACTTCATATTGTGTGGCATATAAAATTTTATAAAAATGTACCTAACTGTTGGGTACCTAACTGTTGGGTATATTTACAAAATGCACAAATTATGAAATTGACATTTTTCTTAATTTTTTAAAGATTAAAATTTCATATTGATTTTTAGCTTTTAAAATTTCCTCATCAATTTTTAGAAGATAAATCTAATCTTACTTCTCCAAGTATGAATTAAAAATTCATCTTGTAATGACTGTGTTGTAGCTTTGCTTTTTCTATCTTTTGATAGTTCTTGCTTTACCTTTGAAATCATTATTCAATATTTCAAATGTAGATTTTATCAAGTTTTTGAAGTGTTGCATATATATTGTCCTTAGTATCAATCTTGGAAATTTTTGGTATTTCAATTTGATAAAATATACCTTCATTAAAAATATTACTAAATAGATCATTCTAGTTTTATAATGTAATGATACTTGCAGATGTATTTTTCATCATTTTATATTCAAAATGTGTTGAGGTATTTATTGCTTTAGATTCAGGTCTGTGAAAAGTTTTGCTTTGCTGAGATCTGATTTTGAAAGTGTTTTACATATATTTTTTCCATAAATTAAGAATATTGAAAAAGGTGAATTAAAGGCTTTGGATTTCTTAATTGTTAACTACAGATATCTTATGATACTTATTATTAGAGCAACAACCTCTGTAAAAATAGTCAAATTTGATAAATGTGCCAAATTCTGGTAACTATGCATGTAAGGATTCTTCATTTTAACCTCCCCCTTCTTGCTTCTGTCAGAATTATGGGATGAAGTTTGTCTCTATTTCTTGTGCCCGTGATATTACCAGCCTGATGCATTCAAAAGAAACCAAAAATATTAAAAATATTACATTTCTTAACCTTGATTGTTGTTTTTTTTTTTTTTTAGAAAAAAAATTGTTTTTACTAGATCTTAAGCTGAAAAAAATTTCCAAAAATTATAAATGGATACTTATATTTTTTATATGCTTACTATTTTAAAACAGTTTTCTTGAAAAAAGAAGTAGGCACTTTTTTTGCCTTTTTCTCTTAAAAATTATGCAGTCATTAAGGGGTTACCAAAGCAGGTATTATTTTTGAGTTCTGTTCTGTTATTGCAACTGGCTTCAAAAATGCATGTGTGTATACATGTATGTGTTCAATTAGCATGTATATATGTATGTATGTATGTATTATGAACGTATGTACTCTCTCATATATCCACATACATACATCTATGAATCTGGCCCCAATAACAGAAGAATATCCATTTTTGTATGCATTATTTCAAAATATATTTCAAGATCCAATAATTTTTATGGGCAAATTGTGGTATTTTTTCTCAAACACAGTCTTAAAATATGCATTTATGATATTTGCCAGTAATGGAAAAAATAAACAATGTAAAATTTCTGCAGGAATACATTATTTTCCAAACAATTACGTAGGGAACTGTTACTTTGAATCTCTTCTTAAAGCAATCACTATGAAATTTTCACTAAGATAAAAAATGCAAAAACCTGCTCCTGCAAAATTTGCAATTGTAAGTCACATTCCTTTTTTTCTTTTGGTTAAACATTGTCAGACTGTGTTAATGATTTTGCTAATATGTAAGTACCCATCTTATTTTCTGACACTAATTAATGATGGTCAATATCCTAGAGCCTTCTGAAATCAATAAATAAAGTTTATAATAAAATTAGTTTTTGATATTGAGACTAATTTAAACAAAGCATGCAATATATATATATATATATATAAGGCAATAAATAGTAAAGTGATGTAGAGTCGGAGAGACTCTGCATCAAAATCCTTATCCTGTATCTGTAGTTTGATTTATTGGTAGATGTGCTTCAAAACTAAATATATTCTGTAATTTTGGAAAAAAAAAATTGCATTTTAATTTTTTAAAATCAAAATTAAATTAAGTTTAGAAAAAATATTTTGCATTATGTTATAGCAAATATTATATTGCATAAAAGATGTTTATTTATGCAGAATGAGTTGCTATATATTACTAATTATAAAATTTATGTCCATTTACATACATCTAAATTAAATAAATTGCAGGTTGTAATTTTTAAAGTGGGGAAGTTAGATAAAATGAAAATGCTAACAGGAGTATATGAGGAAATATTAAGTAATATTACATTTAGTTATGCTTCTGGTACATATTAAAGCATCTGCTTTCAAACTTTGAACAAATACTTCAGAAATTGCATAATATGTCATTAATAAATTTGGTATTGCTGTATTATCTGCTTAATCAGCGCGTTCCTAGCGGAGGTGCAGTGTGTAAAAATATGCGGGTGGTGAAAATCGGGTGGCCGGACTCGCAACAATACCACACCTAAATATTTAAAATTCCTTGTAAGTACTTGTCATATGTAAGTACTTAGGGAGTATGAATTAAAAATTTGATTGATCATTGAGTATTTTTTTTAAAATTTGGGATCAGCAATCTTAGGAAAGTACGCGGGCAGTCAATGGCCTACGAACGGCCCTGCGCTGAATCCTTGTACAAAGTTGCCAGTCGTTCATAACTACCTTTTTTTGCCAACCTAACACATGAAAAACAGTAGCCAATGTTTCTGAAAAAAGATGCACCAAGCTGAAAATTACATAAAGTAGGAACAAAATTAAAAATGCAATAAACATCCATAATTAAATACTTTCTATTTTCTCATAGGTAAAGAGCCATATTTCTGAAAAAATATAATGCTTTCTTTTTCATCTGCAGGCACACAGTTGCATTATGATTCATTAGAAGGAGAGAAAACTCTACACATGTACCATGTCAGCCAGAAACATAATACTCAAATTTCAATGATAATTTCTCCACCACTATGGAGATAGATGGTGGCACTACACTCTACTGCAGTGTGCCCACAACTACTAATGAGTTGCCAGATAAATTTCTTTTCATAAAATTTTGAGTTGTGTTCTTTAGCCACATAGCATTTTGCTTTGCTGTTTTTGGGCGGATAATGCAATAGTACATATTAAAGTCTTTCAGACTTTTAGGAAATCGTCCAGAAATTTAAAATATGTAGTTAATAAATTAACATTTTACAAAATTTCTTTTAGTTCTTCAAGCAGGGCTATCAAATACTTTTTCACATATCTCTGTGGATGTTGTAGATTGTCCTGATTTGAAAGGAAAACCTTACATGTTAGCAGCTGAAGGTAAATATTATGTTAATTTAATTTGAACATATGTTTAGAAATTTTTCATGAGTGTAAAAATATTAACACTTTAATTTTTTTAAAGTATTGAAGATTTTAATTAATTTAATTTAATTGAAGATTTTAATTAGATAATTTTTTTAAAATATTGAAGATTTTTAATAACTATTTTATTTTAAGTATTTTTATTCTTATACATACTTGGATAACTGAACATTTTACATGAGTATACTAGGACTGTTAATTTAAGTAGAACATCATCTTAACCATCAAATTGGCACAGCACAGTGTTTTGAATCTACTCTTAATCCTCTGAGTGGCACAGCTTTTTGACATCTGCTTATGAAGACATGTAGTTGAACTGTCATATGAAGAATCTGTTTATCAATGAATCTTCTTATGAAGACATATATTTAAATGGCATTTATCAGCTACACTTGTATAATCACTCATTTTAATCTGTGTTTTCATAAATTTGATTCATTAAGATTATATCATTAAAGAAAATGAGAAAACAAAATATTTTAAATTTTAAGCTGGTGTATACCAAGTGACAAAAAAATGAATGGTATGACCACCTTTATGTGATCATAAGATCAGTTTTAGCTGCAAATATTAGTTACATTTATATGGTCACTTATTTTATTTTTTGTTTTCATAATATTCCATTCATTAAGATGATAATTAGATAATCAAAGAACATGAAATATTTTAAAGAATAAAATAAAATCTACTGAGTAATAACAAATCTCATGAACAGATGAAGATAATCATGCTGCTTAAAAAAATTGGAGTACATACAAAAGTAAGTTCACTAAAGTAATTGAGATGGTTGGAAATAATGGTAGGTCATAGAAAATCAACAGAACTTATTTGCAAACAGTGAAAAAATGATGAGTTTTGAATTTTGAGGAAGCAGTTCAGTCCAGAGTAGTGCCAGATGGTCAAATCATAAATTCTTTCTTGCCAAAAATTGGAAAAATGTATTCACATTAGCATGAAATATATCCAGCTTCTCTTAGTAGACAGAGCTCTTTGCAACATGACAACATATACTCTTCCCCTCTAGAAAGCTGCTTAAAAGTTAATGATCTCTAAGTTGGTACAGATCTTGTTCTTTAAGGCTGTTGCATTCTGTACTCTGTGACATCAATTATTTATTAATTTTTTATGTATTTTGCTTCTACAGATAATTTGGAAACAAAGTGAGGTGACTTTTTGTTTCATTAAAATCCAAAAGAGTGGTATCATCAATAAATTTAACAAGAGCAAAAAGTGGGCTGCTTGTCACCAAATATGTGCCAGAGAGCCAAATATGGTAGCCTGTTTCTATTGTGTTAGGATTAGCTGTGCAGTAATGTTGTTGCAAATAAGTGGAAACGGTAAACATCAATCCAGGAATTTTCTTTTCTAGATTTTCAATCGTTTAAGTGGATGAAATGGCAGCTGTCAGATACATGTGCACATTAATTATAAATACAATATTAGTGATCCTGATATGGCATGCTATATGCAAAACAGTGAAATAAACGTCAACACAGTGCTGGTCATTGCTGTCTACGTTACCTCATGTGGTGGCAATTGCATGAAAATACTCAGGTTTTCAGAAATGTTAATTGAAATTGGCAACTTATGCCTCTTGCATAATCTGAAATTAATCTGGCAAAATGTATTTTATAGGCTTGTTTTTTTCCATATTTTTTGTAATTGTTCTGCATTTAATAAATAGTCATTCTTTTCATAAACATTTACATATTCTTAGGGCAGTCGTCATATCATTAGATGTGTGCTGATTTAAGAGAAGAGTGCCTATTTTTTAATATCTTCCAACTTTTCCAATGATGGAATATTGTAATTACAAATTTTATTATTAAATTTCCCTGACTAAAAGTATAGGGACTGGAAGAACATGTAAAATCTTAGATTTAGTATTTTATACAAAATTAATTCTTTTAAAATTTAACCAAAACATGGATATTTCTTTCATTTGAAATATTTTTGTAATTGGAAGTATACATTCAGAGCCAACACTTATGAAAAAATTAAGATCAGGTAAGGACTTTTATAGACATGATATACATATGTATTTCATTGCTATAAGAAACATAACAAAATATGTGAGCTGTTTAGTTTATTCAACAAGTTAAAGAATTTAAATATTCAAAAGCAGTGCCCCCATTGTTGTTGATTTTTTTTAACAATTGTAGAATTTTTGTAATCTAAGTCATTATGTTACTAAATAATTATCATATCACTAATAAATATCATGTTATTAGAAACTGACTTGATTATTATTACTTATATGTTGATGTTTTTAATATTAAAAAGCTGATGTTAAAATTGAATAAAATCATAAAAAACTACAAATTTGTATACTGAATGTATAAACCCTATATATAAGGGGTTGATCTTTACATTATGGTAACTTGGCGATTTTTTGGCGAAAATTTGGCAACCAACTCTCCTACAGCAACCCTCTATTTTTTTCCCCGCCGCCATTTTGTCTTCACGAAGTAAAGACATGTTTCTTTTCTTTTTATCTACTGAACACTTCTTCCAACAATCTACTAGCCGAATTACACTTATGCTAGAAATTTTATCAAACAAAACTGCTTAATCATGACAAATATTCACTGCAAAATTGGGAAAAAGTGCACAATACCGTACCCCTTACGCGTTTTTCAAAATAACACATACACATAAACCATGTACACGCCGACTTATTTTTACTTAAAAAAACATCCGAGAATTGCACAAAAATGGCATTGCGCACTCTTCACTATATCCATGTACACTGCTTTTTTCTCATAAATTAGAAAAATTTCACGAAAATACATGACAATTTTCTCAATCTTTAAACCCGGTAAAAAGAACATATATGAAATTACCTGATCGCGAAAAAGTATTTACCCTTTACAAATATGAACATTTCCACATATAAAATAAATAAAATATCCAAAAACTTTTACCTCTAAATCATCTATTACATTATACACGTCACCAACGAATTCATACCGCAAGCATTACAAATACTTAGTATCAAATATTTAAATTATTTCCATGCACGTTTATTTCAACTAAAACGTAAACCAAATTCCTACAAACATAAAATTCACAAAATAACTATCATTTCATTAAAATATAATTAAATTCAAAAACACTACTTAAAATATAAATGAGCACATACATTAAATTAATAAAAATTACCTTACAATCCTAATTACTTCAAACTAAATCATTGCTAATAACAATTTTCCCAATAATACCAAATTCCTTTCCACCTTACATTTAGAACAATGCATAAAAATAATATCCTCAAATAATTAAAAATACTAATCTTCTTCAGAATATTGATTACGTGGCGGATACACTTTTCTAATTCATTCAATAAAATTATTGAAAGATTTTTCCTCCATACTTCCTCCGGTAAATAAAAAGCAAACTTCTCTTTATCACAATGCCTAAATACCCATTTCGAATCCACTTTAGTTAGGGCCATGGGATCCAAAAATTAAACAACACTGTTTCACACAACACAGAATAAAGCTAAATACAAAATTTCCACATTTTTTCCCGATTTCCCCCCTTTTCCGATTAAAGAACCGTAATTCGTCCATTAATATCACATGACATATCCCATGATCTCTCATTTCCCTCACACAAAATAATGCGTAATCGGAACTGAGTACTGCTCACATTATTACCAAAGTCCCAGGTAGTAACCTTTATCGCCTCCAAAATGTCGCCAAACTACCAGTTACCATATTGTAAAGATCAACCATATAAGGCTTTATATCATTTGCAGCTTTTTTAGAATTACATTATCTTTAATGCCTTAAAAATAATTTTATAATGAAGATTGGTTTCTTGGAATATTAGTTAATAGTTATTACTCAATACTTAGCAGATATGCAGCATTAAAGAGAACGACTTGTCTGTTGCTTTCCACAATTCTGCATGCAGTTTAATTTTTATTTCCATACCTGTTGTACCTGTATTGTGATCTATTAATTTTATTGAGTGAATGAATAATATTTTTTTAGGTATTTGTGGGAATCCATGCCTTGCAGATGTTGGTGGGGTCCCCTATTTGATACCAGTTGCACGCACAGACAAGGTTTTACTCTTATATTAATAATACTTTTATATATTTTTTAATTTTATATTTATACTCATTCTTATTTTTATTTGCATTCAGTGGCATTAGTATTTTTTTGGTACAATGAATATTTACAACTATTGAAATGATGATTATAATAAAAGGATATGATAAGTAATTATAACAAACTTCATCTGTCTAATTTTGCAAGTTATGTGTTAAGATAGCCAACTATTCACACGATATTGAACAGTGAAACAAATGCCTTGACATTATTGTCATCATCTTACCACTTCTGAGATACAGTGTTTTTATGAGTCTAGGTATCCAAAATTTTATAAAATTTTTTGGAATAGAGGTATACAAGTTTTCAATGCTGGTAACAGGTATTTTATACTGTTCTTCTATTATAAACAACTGCAATTCTTTGAGAGATGTTAAGAGAGAAAAATGGCTTTTTCTTCTACAGTGGCCTTGGCAGGAATGTTGATTTGGCATATTTCTACATTGGCTAGAAACGAGTAGTTAACTTATCTTTGCATGTGCAAAAAAACAAGCATTTATGGTTACTGATCTATGCCATGTGAATTTTTTTTACTGTTGCTTTTAGAATATAAGGGTTTTTTGTGTATGATCATATTTTATGTTTCTTCGGCTGGTGAAATTTTTCACTTTTAAAATATAGCGGTTTTTCATTGCAAATATTTACCACGCTTACTATTTTCAATCAACTGAAAAACATACAACAGTTACATAGTGTCAGCAGAACATTAAAATGTTGTGCAAATTAATTTAATTCATTAAAATCTTATTCCAAATTTAGCTACACACTTTAATTTACTAAATAATCTTTCAATTAGGGATGCTAATAATTTCTTTTAGTTAGTTTTTTATTTTGAAAAGTTAGCTAATCGGCTTTTAGTTTTTAGCTTAATTAAGAGATATGCGTCTTAAGTAATTTTTTGGTATTATTAATTAGACTTGCTATAAAACACAATGTAAATGCCCAAAGCTTAACCGAACTAGTATGCTTTTGTATTATAGGAAGCAAACAATCTGTTTTTTAAGCTACTGCTGGTGTTCTTAGCAAATATACTCATCCTAAACTAGGAAATATTGACTTTTCGGAAAGACAACTTGTTTCCATGGATCAACATTTTTGTTTTTCCACTTTTTATGTTCCTGGCATCGTCGTAGCCTCTATTTTATATTTATTTATGAAACAAGAAATTTTGAGATAGCTTTGCCGTAAATATTCTGCTTATTTGCAGATTCTATCATATTGTATGTGCCGTAATTGGATTCGTAAATGCATATTAAATTTGATAGTCAACTTTCTCATAATTATTTTTCTTCTTGATGTAACAATCCTCTTTAATCTCTTTCTGTCTCTGCCAGTAATTTTTCATTCTCATCCCACAATTGTGTCTTACAAATGATATTTGGCCAAGAATATCATATGCTTTCAGGAATTCAGACTATTAGTTGATATTGTTTGTTATTTTACAACTGTATTTACAGATGTACCAACAATCTGGCCTTTTTGGAACTCACTGATGTTGCTCATTTTTCTTCATTATGAACTAAGTTTTATAAATCATAACTGAAATTTGGAATTTTATATAGCCATAGAAATATATGTAAAATAATCATAGAAAGTGATGGCTACTTTTATAGATTATTATGCAACTGAGAGAAACAAAATTAACTTTTTAAAATCTATGTTTCTGTTAGTTTAGATGCTATTTTTTATCTGTACCCCCATCAAAAAGTTGTAAAAAATATATTTATGAAGCAAAGCAGTATTCTGCCAAAATAGTTATGTGTAAGCCCAGGATGCTGACGAAAAGTATTTCATGGCACTCCAGGTGTACATTGAACAGTCTTCTTTTGCCAGTGCCAGTTATACAAGGCTGAAATTGTAAAATTCTCTTATGTTTTTGGAAGCAAACAATTTCCAGAATGCTCTTCAAAATCACTAACAAGTTCATAACCTTTCAGTGGGGATGCAGCTAATTAGAAAGTACCATTTAGACTTTAACTGTGTTAATGTTTCATACTAATTAAGTAGCTTCATATTTTATTGAGGTCTTGGTTTTTTATTATTTTAGGTGTATAATTTAAGAGAAATTGCAAAAAAATTAGAATTGCCAAATGCTTTAATCATAGGCGCAGGAGCAGGCCCTAGACATCACGTTGGAACAAATTGTGAAGTATGTATTTTAGTTTTTCTGCTGTGTATAGAATGTTAGAATTCAATATGCAAGAAGAGTTCTTGCTGTTAATGTCTAAGGGATACTTTTTCATTACTATTGTCACTCAGAATGATTTTTATTTGACACAATTTGAATTATCTATAAAAGTTATCAAAAGGATTTCGTCATTCAAAAGGAAAAGCAATTTTGAAAATTTCCTACATGTTTGATAGTTATAACAGTATTACTTTTTGATGTGCAATGTAAGCAGTTTGCAAGAATAACAAATTAAAATATATTAGTATATGGATTCAAAAATCCAGAGTTACTGAGACTTCAGCGATTCTAAATTGATTTAAAAATTTTCCTTATTTTAGATCATCAGTTTAAATTTAGTAAAATGATTTTCATTTATAATAAAATTGATAATGTGGGTACTTCTTTTTTATACTAAGTAAAGGAAGTATAATCACGGAAAATTTTGGGTATTGTATTTCAACGAAAATATCCATTTTGACCGCTCTCGAATCCATCTAAACGAAGCTTTTGCATGATATCTGTATGTATAGACAGAATAGAGGTCTCTTTTTCCCAAAATGGATTAAAAATTATAATTAAAATGGATTCAGAAGAGACTTTTCATGACATCTGTATGTACGTACATATGTATGTATCTTGCATAAATCAAAAATTCAAAAATGAGTAGCCCCAGAACATTGAAATTTTGTATATGGGATTGCTATAACATCTCCTTTTGCAAACATGTGCACCTGAAATATATATATACACACACCCACTCTGTTACTCAGTGAGCTCAGTTTTTAAATTCTTATTTATTTATTTATTGGTAAATTGTGCATTTTTTGCTTTAGAAGTTATTGAATTATGTTGTTCTTATGTTCTGGTTAAGGTTTTCATGCCTCTAGTTAAATCTGCATGCAGTAGTTTTAGAATTATCAACAATTTAAAGTTATTTAAGTGAGACTAAGCCTAACAGAGCAGCCACTTTAAAAAAAAAAAAAAAAAAAAAAAAAAAAAAAAAAAAACAGAATATTGAATTAAGTCAGTTTCTGCACCTTCAGTTTCTTTATGCTGACCAAAAATAAACTTTCAGTTTTTGTACACTGAAAAATCTGTGTTTTTGCCTGCTGGCTGAATTGCTTGTTTTTGTGTAGAAAGTCTAATTTTAATTGTAAAAAATTTTATTTAAACTGTTTTAACTGTATTTGGTGTTTTTCTGTATTTTATAATTTATATTTTTGAAATTTTTAATGGAGGTGTTTTGATTTTTTATGTATTTTTGCCTTGCTGCGAAGTGGGAACTGAATTAATTGAATGAAAAATTCTGGCGTCTAGAAAATTACGATTTATGTGAAAATGACATAAATATGGTTATGCAGCATTAGAAATTATGACAAGCAATTTAAGCTTTTTAGATGTCCATAACTTGCATATGTTGATTAACTATATGAAAAACGATCTGTTCCTTCAAACTTCTGCTGGAATGACTGATGCGAGTATAACGAGAGCTCCTCCCATCATCATGGTTAATGGAATTTTGTAATCGAATGTGATGTTTTACTTTGACGTTTATGTCTGGAATACTTTTTTTTTTTTGAAATATCACATAATTTAAGTGTAGGCATTTGATATTGAACTTGATAAAATGACTCTTTTTATAATTTCAGACCAGAAATTTTTACATCCATTCATTTGGCTTTCCTACCATAAATTGCACTTTTTTATATGCTCAATCATCTGGAATTTTGGGGTATCCAGATTTTGGCATTTCACAAGCTTTCTGGATAGTCGAATTTTTACTGTATATATATTCATAAATTAATTAAATTATAACTTTAAGCGGTTTAAAAATTTTGAAATTAAAAAGTAAAATTAACAATTATAAAGTAAAAAATATTATTACTTTGAAATAAAGTGTCCACAGTGTTTGGCGAAGAGTGACGGTTTACTTTAAATATTAAAATCAAAATTTTGTGAGCATGTCAAAATTAAAATCTGAGAAATTTTTTATAAAATTTGATGCAGTTTTTATATTTGTTTCTCGGTGAAATGTTCAGAATGTGGTCAGAGAAAAATTGATATTTTATCCAGCATCTGGTACTAAAAAATACATTTCATTATGCATTTCGTGCTCCTTAACTTATTAGGTGCTTTTTTATTTAATTAAATTATATATACATATGTTTCTGATGAATTTAGGAGACCACATCTACATATTTTCAGGTGCCGACAGAAATGTTAAAAGGTAAAATAATCTTGGTAGAGAATTAACAAAAAAGGTGAAAAATGTTGCTGTCTACATAAAAAATATTTTAAGTATTAGAAATTAAGTAACCAAGTTACTTGGTGAGACTTTTAGTATCCAATAGATCTTCTGAACTAACTTTTGAACGGCAATCAAACTAAACATGATATTGACTCCGGAATGTACCCCCTTTAATATCAGACCACTGGTAAGTAAGCATAAAAAGTTTTAGGTCACATCTTTATACATTTTTATTGCAACATTTTAATGCATTGACATAAATTTGTCACTAGAATTAATTATATAGTTAGTTCTTTAGTTGTATTTAATATTTTATATTAATTTTCTTCAGTTTTTTTTCTTTAAAGATAATATTGTATGGTAAAAGTATAGAAAAATAAAAAGAAAGTGTAGGATAGTCATAAATTTTTCACACAAATCGGCTGTTAGGTGACATGAACAGAAATTGGCTTAGTAGTAAATAGAAAGAAGGTGTCAGATATTATTTTACAATTTGGTACAATTCTGTTATCAAGACCGGATTAAAAAATGTGTGTATGCATGCATGTGTGAATGGATGTATGTGTTCATGTGTGCATGTGTATATATAAGCATGAATGTATGTGTGTGCATACATATACACATAATGCACTTGTATACATACACACTCACACATTTCTGAATCCAGACCCGATAACAGAACAGTGCCTCCAATTTTTACAAATTAAATATTACAAATATACAAGATTTTACACATAGTTAAAATAATTGGTGCTGGATTTAAGTTTTGAAAACCCTATTTACGCACTTCTTCACTTTTGTTATGTATTTATAACATATTATATAATCAGTTGTCTGACAAATCATTTGATATAAAATTTCAGTATTTTTCTGTGAAATGGTAGTTATCTAACAGGAAAAATCTTTATTTTGTATTTATATTCATATTTGATGTAAAATTTTAGTATGTTTCTGCAATGATATTAGTTATCTAATGGGAAAAGTCTTTCATATTTTGCATTCATATTCATAGTGCAAGGTCTGTAGCATTACTTAGTTTATTCATAGTGCAGCTCTTGAACATTCTTTATTTGCAATGATTTTACATATTCACACTTTCTATTTTTTTTAAATGCTATTCTATATTTGATTAATTTAAACTTTAAAGTATGATATGGACATTTTGTTCTGGATATCTGAAAATATAATTTTTAATTTTCTAGATGATGCCAAATATAAAATTCAATGAGGATGAATTTAATAACACACATGTTGCCAAGATCGGAAAGGTATATGATTCTGTTTCATGATGTTATCTATTTATGTATAAAATAAAAAATGTTGAAACATTTTTTAAAATTATATATAATTTTAGTGCATAATAAATTTATCGTAATTCAAAAATTTTAAATTACAATGCAATATATGCATTATTAAGGTGAAAAAGAGTTCAGATGCAATGTTATATTCTTAAAGTTTATAGAGTAATTCACGGCCTCCAGGACCCCATAATATTTATGAAAATTTTGTGGGTCCCTATAAGCATTGTGTAAATCTGACACACGTGTGCGTGAAACTGTCAATTTTTTCCCCTTGTACTGTAATATACTATTGCAGTTTTAGGTCATTAATTTTAATTTCTAATTTTAAGGCAATGTGACAATGTGAAATTTACAATAATACAACAATGTGAAAATTTTAAGTAACAGACAAAATGACAGCGTCACGTGCAAAGCAAGTAAAATGAACATTTCTATTATAAAAACATTTTCCTTTTTTCTTTGAAAGAATGTTTTTTTCTTGAAGGAAAAAAGGAAAACATCGAAATGTTTTTCTTTTTTATTTGTCTGTATTGTCTTATCTTTATATATTTTCAAATACATTGTGTAAAAATATTTAGTAATTGTAAAATTTTTATCATAAGTTAAAGAAATATCAAAACTGCTAAATTTTTTGATGACCCACAGTTTAAAAAACATTGATATAAAGAACAGTCAAAACATTAACATTTTTTTATTAATAGAATAGATATAAGAAGTTTTGAAAGTTCTTCATTTTTTAATGGAGTCTTAAATGATTTCACTGCTTGTGATTCAGCACTTCAGTAATGCTTCAGTTTTGCCAGGGAAAAAAAAAAAAATATCTTGAGTGAATGATGGTACAGATATTTATCTTTTTTATTTCATTGCTTGTTCCAAACTTCTTGCTAGTGTTGAAAAGAGAAAAGTAGAGGGTGCTGCTTGGCAGCAGCGCAGTGCATGTAAGGTAGAAACGAAGTATCGTTTTGATTAGACAACATGATTTCTGTGAAGACTGTGCACGTAATAATAGGACAATTGTAAATATGTATATAAGCAGATAATAAATAATGTTAAAAAATGAACCACCGGATGCTTTGTGTTTCTCTTCGGGCTGCTATAGTTAAATGCAGGTTCATTACAGCTAGTGTTTTTTCCATAGATGTTCGACTCATAAATCTACCAAATTAATATACAGGCATCATCCAGTATTGCCTTTTTGGCCTTGCTGTTGAATATTTGTTGATTGCTTACTTATCAAGATGCAAAAATCAGATAAATATTTCTTTTTTTCTGTGCATTATTCCATGTGGACGGCTATTTTTACTGTTGTTTGTTGACATCATGTGTCCCATTAAAACAGTATTTCTGTGCATGTTGGTTTTGGAAGAGCATACTGTATGCAAAATATTATCATCTCCACTGTAATTAAATTTTTTTATTGTATTATGAAGGGAAATCAAGAAGTAAGTCGCAAAATGCAATTACAAAATAACTAATGAGATGCTCAGCTGGAAACTGTTTTTATTTTTCAACATAACTTTCATTATTATTTATACACTTGCCCCATAATTTTGTCAGTGCTGCAGTACTAGCTGCATAAAATTTCTTAGATTTCTGTCTCTACCACATTAGGACATCATTTTAAAGATCATTAAATCATTTACTTTCAAGATATTTTTTTAGCAAACCAAATAGGTACTGCAACTGTGTGTTATAGCATATGGTATATTTCTCAGATCGATTCATCTTCTCTCCGTGATGTTGAGTCTTGTCTCTATCTGAAAAGAAGGCTTACTTTGATTTTCATTACAAACTTTGGAGCGGCTTTGAGAAAATTTCTCATTCAACTTGCACATGGCTTTGTACCAAACACTCCTTTCCATAAACAGGAAACATTCCTTTATTTTTATCTTTTGTATAAATTTCTTCTCCTCCCCCCTGCAGAAAAAAAAAAAAAGGGATAATAGCTCGCAGTCATTAAATTCTATCGGCATTTTTAAACTGAATAATGCATGTGCAACTGGTAGTGAGTAACTAACAAAATGAATACCACGAACTGCTCTGCCATATGCATGGAAAATACTTACTGCTATTTTCAAATATATCATTCCAATTTTCATCCAACTTAATAACTTTTCCCTGCCAACTTAATGACACTTATATTAATGTTATTTTTTGATTTTTTTCTATTTTCTTATTCTTTGCATTTTTATGACAAATTTCCTCTATTTGCACATTAAAATTACATATAAATTTTTTATGCCTACTTATATTTTTACAATATGCATTCATTTATCTTGATTTCTGTTATAGGATGGCAATTGTGAATTGGTTCACTTAAAAGATAATGAGGAATTTTGCCTTTTAGGCAATCTTTTTGCTTCAGAAGGTAAAAGTGGAAAGGTAATGATTTTGAAATTTTTAGTTACTTAATAACATTTCTATGCAAATTTATTTACTACTGAGATTTTGCCTTTATTAAGATATTTTGAACCTCAAATCAGGTTGGAGGTTGGCCAAGAGGTTGCTAATCTTTCTCTAAAAACAAATTTTGTTGCAAATCCTAAAGAAGAAAATTTTGGGCTGTCTTGCAGGAAACAACTTCAACCAGATTTAAAAACTTTAATGCAATAAAATGAAATGTCTTAAAATGCTACAGAGGAAATTGTTTAGGAACTTACTATATTTAAGTTTCTAGGGAAGTTAGAAGGCATGAGAAGAGGATGCATGAAAAGAAAAAGAAAAATTTTCACAAAGACCTATTTAAAGAACATCTAATGAAAACGAAGCTTCCTTTCATCAAATTAGTCTTGGATGTAAAACTTTCAAATCCACTACACTGTCTTTAATGGAAATAAATGAAGCAATACATAAATTGAAAAACTAGAAATCTCAGGTCCTGATTCAATACATCTGAACTTATTAAAAATGTTGTACAGATGCTGTAAAGAAAATAGACCATTTAATAAAATTAATACGAAAAGAATGCAGAATTTAATAGCGTCTATCTTATTCATAAAAAGAATTTCTTCGAATGCTGAAATTATCAAGGTATTAGTACTCTGCACATTTTATGAACTATTTTCTAACATTCTGTGTAAGATATTAGTTGTTTTTACAGTTATTGTAATTGATGATTATCAATGTGGCTTTTGTAAAGGAGGGTCCGCTAATGACCAAATCTTCAGTATAAGGCAAATAATAGAAAAGACCAGAGAATTTGATATTGACATTCATCATTTATTCATAGATTTTAAAAATGCCTATGATTTAGTTAATAGAAAAGGATTTCTTAATTCTATGAGAGAATTTAACATTCCTGAAAAGCTTGTTAAACTTTTTCCATCATCTTAACACAGAACAGATTAAGAGTAAATATATAGAATAATTTTTAAGAACCTGTTCTTTTTGCCAATGGTTTGAGACAGGTAGATGCTTTGGCTTGTCTCCTATTCAAATATGAATACTAGGAGAGGTTTTTTTAACAAAACGAGTTCAAGTCTTGGCATTTGTGGATGCTATTGACATTATTGCTGAAGCACTCAAACAGGCATTTCTCTCAATGGAGGCTAACACAGTTACTATGCATCTTAGCATCAACCAACCAAAAACTAATGATATACCATGCATTAAGTCCAATTTTAATTGTTCTTGGGAACTGATAAATATTAATTTGAATTTGTTGAGTGTTTTATACATCTTGGCTCTGTATCTGTGTTGAAATTCATAACAGAATAACGTTTGCTAATTGATGCTTCTTTGGTTTAAAGAAGTATCTGAAATAAACTTTATCAAAATAACAACTGAACTGACAATTTATAAATATTTAATTAGATCTCTTTTGACATATGGAGCTGTAATCTGGATACTAACTGAAAAAGTTTAAAGAAATACTTGGGCCAAGGCCCATCATGGGCTATTGAGCCACTGAAGAAGAATAAGATATTTTAGCCATTTTTGAGATTACACGTGCTTGCATTTTGACCACTTTTGAGGTTATTTTTATGAGATTTACGTTTTAAATAAGTCTGAGTTAAATTTTTGTTTTTAATTACCTCTGTATTTTTATAATTCTGGGAATCATGAGTTAATTTCTTTATTTGAGATTAATATATATTTTGATAATAAAGGTTTGCCTTTGTGTAATTAGTCAATGAATATAAAATAAAGAAACAATGTTGCATGCTTATCAATGAAATAAATCTAAATATTAATTTTCTTTAGTTTAGTTCTAACTATCAGAGGGGTGATTTTCAACCAATATAAATATATATAAAATTTCCTGCACACTTTACTACAATCTGAATGTTATAGGTAAAAGTGGTATATTCTAAACACCTTTTACAAAGCTTTTGTAATTATGAAGAATTATAACATGCATGCAATAGAGATTTTACAGCATATTTTTTATATCAGTTAATCTCAAAGTGATAAATTCATCGTTAGGGAATAATAATTGTAGTTATAAAAATAATCTGTTTTAGGTATTGTAAAAATGTACATATCTGTTAAAAATAATATTACTTTCATTTTTAAAGTTAAATACAAAATTTAGAAACTTGATAACATTCTCTTCTATATTTGCATAATTATAATACATCATACTAGGTAACTGGGGGATGTTTTGCAGAAGCAGGATGTATAATTTAAGTACATTAGAGGCTAAATACTAGATTAAAAAAATATTGATAGTCATTAATATGTTTCAACCACAGAAGTTCCTTCTGTATCATTTATGTACTATTATCTAAATCAAAAATAAAATTTTTTGATAATAATCAAAAATAAAATTTTTTGATTATTGTAAAACCCATGGCAGCACAAATGCTGATTTCAGTGGTTGAAAAGAGGTAGGTTTGTTAAATTTCATTCTACCTTTCAGCATTATTTTTGCCATGAATCTGTATGACAACAGGTAGATCAAATTGTATTTTACACTAACCAACATTGAAAATGCAACACAATGAATTTGAAGAAGGAGCGGCCAGAAAGTGATGAAACTCGGCAAACAGAGAGAGACAACAATAAACAATACGTGATCTTTATTTTGAAATGATGTGCATAATAGAGAGTGAGAACAGGGTCAGCTCAGTAGGTTGTAGGACCACCTTGGAGTGGCAACACGTCTAGATACAGAGCCAATGAGATTGTGGATGGTGCCCAGAAGAATGGGACTTCTCAATTCCCTGTCAATCATTTGCTTCTGAATCAGTTCATCAGCGAGTTCATCTTCTGAATGCAGTAATGTCAGGGTCTGCAAAATGGGGTCCAGTCACATCCAAAATGTGGTCGATTGGAAGAATGGTGGCCAGTTAAGTGTCTGTACACCTTCCAGAGCACACTGGCTGATGCAAGCAGTGTGTGTCTGGCATTATCCTGCTGATAAATGGCACTAGGCTCTCCCTGAAGGTAGGGGTGTGCCACCACCCGCTGTACATCATCTCCGTATCGTTGGGCTATCATAGTGCCCTGAATACGAGCTAGAGGTGACCTGGAATCGTAAGCAAATGCACCCCAAACTATGATGCCGCATTATCACGTGGTGGGGCATTCCACAGTTGCTGCCAGATTGGACTTATCTCCATATTGACACCACACCTGTATGTGGCGACTGTCATTGGATAAACAGAAGTGTGACACATCTGAGATCACGACCCTAGGCCATTCTGTCATCCACATCGCTCTAGCTCAGTACCAATGCAGACGTTGTCATCTGTGATATGGGGTCAATGGCAGTCTTTTTAATAGACACCACGAGTGCAGACCACTAGCGACTTTTTCAACGGCAAATGGTTCTAGTCGATATGGAACCTCCAGGGTAGAACATGCTGCAGAATAGAGGCAGAAGTGATTTACTCGTGCACCATGGCTTGTCAGCAGATCTGTCGATTTGCACATGCTGACCTCATTCTGGCTGCACCAGCACCTCTCAAACTTGCCATATTTCCTTGTTCAACCATTGTTGCTACAGCCATGCACTGTGGACATATCAAGGTGTGTGTCAGCTGTGATTTGTCGTATGGACCAACCTGCCCTTTTCAGTCCGATTGCTATGACCCTCATAAAATTGTCTGTCTGCTGGAACTGCGTCATTGATGATGGCCTGGCATTTCTTTGCTATTACATGCATCCTCTAAGACAAGAACAAATATTCTACAATGATTTCCCTAGCAGAAATAATGGCATGGAAATTGAACATTCTGAAGTTCCTTCCCTTACGTCTTCTTCAATGTGTGCAATTTCACATCATTCACATAACTCGATGATGTGCGTCTAGCCTGGAATTTACATAATTTTCCAACCACTCCTTCTTGGTGTTGTATTTTCAGTGTCGGGCAGTGCAGTTAAAATTACATAATAGAATTACTGATTCTGTTTGATATGACTTCATTCCATCAGTTTCAATCAAAACAGGGTACTTTTCTGTTATCGGGACCGGATTCAGAAATGTGCTTATGTAGGTAGGTGCTTATATATGTGTGTATATTTACCGAAGAGACATTACTTTATGACCACCCTCCATCTATAACAATGGGCTCGCCAAAGAGCAAAACCACTGCATATGAGCAGTTGATGTTGGAGTATATAAAGCAGCTATGCATTGTCTTTTCAAACATAACACGATTAGCTACATAATGGGAAAAGCAGCTGATTTATCAGACTTCGATAAAGGTCAAATCATTATGGTATCAGAAATGGCGCATTTAGTAGGCTGTTCACGTACAGTTGTGAGCACATATCGAAAGTGGTGCTTGTATAGTGAAACGACAAGTCCCCGGCCAGCAGTGTGTCATCGACGGCGCATTAATTTCAGTGGAGATTGCTACGCATTTTTCGCCATTACCAAAGAGCTATAACAGTGGCAACCCAGACTGTGTTTCTTAACACACTGTACAGCGTACATTGCTGTGTATGGACCTACGCAGCTACTACATGTATACATAAACACATACGTCTGTACACATATGCACACATACATTTCTGAATCTGGTCCCGGTAACAGAAGAGCACTTAAAACTCTTCTGATCAAAAACAATGACCATAAATGCTGGAATGTGAGATTTTATTTACAAGCCATTCAATACTCTGATATTTCATTTTATGTAATCAAATACCAAATCTTCCATACACAGTTTAGAGTGGGGAAAACACTTTTCAGAATTAGAAAATCATCATTTGTTAGATTGTCATGTATATATTTTAATTCCCCTTTTTTAATGTGATGTGCTTTTAAGGTGATATGCATAGATTCATTATGTAATGGGACTAGCCTGTGGGCTTTTATTGTTTTATTGCAGAAAATAGACTTTTGTGATAAAGAATTAAAAATAAATCATTTTTACAGGTAATTAAAGTTACAGCACAGCATAGGAAAACTTCTGAAAATTTTGTTTCAGCTATGCGTAAGACTTTAGCAGAGCACTATAAAGACCAACCTATTGGTATAGGGGGAGTTTTTAATATACAAGTTGGCGAAGCAAAGCTGCATATAATGGTACATTTATTTTAAATTCTTATTGAAAATTCTATTAAGGATATTGTATAGAGTTTCTTGAATAGTTTTAATTTGAGAATTAAGCTAGTTTTTATACAGCTCATAAATATTTATAGCTTTTTGGATAATTTCTGTCAGATTGCTATTTTTTCAAACTTTTTTTTCCCTCAAGATTTAGTTGTAACCCAAAAAATCATTTATCATAAGTAAAGAAGTTCATATTTGTTTTAAATTATTTTAAATTTTAATAACTTGCTAATAAAAGTATTATTGTATTTTTTATTGGATATCTTTTTTATATTTTATTATAATCAATATTTTGGTATGTTTTATGTAGGAGATAAGTGATTTTCTATTTTTAAGAAAATATAGTCAGAGAAAATGGTACTCTTCTGTTGTGGGGACTGGATTCAGAAATGTATGTATGGATGGATGTGTTTGTACATAGATGTATATACATATGTATGCATGTATATATACACATATATATGCACATGCACTCATGTATATACATGCATACATTTCAAAATTTGGACTCTATAGCAGAAGAGTACTGAGAAAACGTTTTATGGAAAAGGAAATAACTGTTCATTTAATACTAGGCAAATAAATAATTTTAGTTTGGCATAGATTTCGATTAAAACTCTTGAATTCAAGGGTGATTATACACAGATCCCTTTTCTTCAGGAGCAAAAAACTTTGTAGAAAGGAAGATTGGTAACAATTTTATACTGAAAGTAATTGGTGGAGTAAAGTGAGCATGATTGCATTAGTACATGCATTGTGTTATGCATTATGTCGGCTATCCCTCCTTCCCCCCCATTTTCGCTCCTGAATAAGAGGGACCAGTGTTTGATTGGCCTAATAATTCATAGAGTTTTAATGAAAATCCAGGCAAAACTACAGTCCCCCTTTTTTTTGGCTTAGTATTAAATTTTAAACTTGTGCACTTCTTTTTCATTTGAATTGTTCCTTTGTTAAAAGAGTGCTGTTATAATAGTTCTTAAATTTTGTTTAAAGGATTTTATTGATATGAATTTGTACCTAAAAGAAGTTCAGTGTCATATTTTACCCTTTAGTAAAAACTATTTATTTTTTTAATGCAATTTTATGTTTTTATATGTTAATATTTTAATGCACACATGTACCTTTAATGCTAGGTAAAACACAGATAAGACAAAATACTAACTTCAAATTGCAATATCTCCTTAACTCTTCCGTTTAATTTGGGTTTTATTTGCCCCTGTCATTGTAAAAATAGTAGCTGCTTATAATAAATTGTTCTAAATTACATCATTTCAAAATTAATTCTTCTAACATAATTCCTGCATAACATTAATGATGCGGGTGCTTACATAACATTTCAGCCAGTAATAATTTTTAATTCTGTGAGCTGAAACTCGATCAACCATCAGAACAAAGTGAAATTATAATTTAAAAAAAAAAAAAAAAAAAAAAAAAACCACCAGCTGAAAACTATGCAAACCTGCTGTCTGGTGCTCATTCTTTCTTCAAATATTACAGAAAAAAGTGCCTATGTAGCTATTCAAGAAAATGCATGTTTTTGGCGTTATCTGCTGCTGTATTAAAAATATGCTTGTCTACAGCAACTGAAGTGAGTAGTCAGCTTCAATGAATACCATTATCTTAATGCATCAATATTTAAATCATCGCACATACACATATATATGTTAGTATTGATTGTAATTAATTCAGCAGGAAAGAGTTTGTTAAATTTTTAGGATGTTTAATATAATAATGCACGAGTTGTACCATGTAACATTGATGCTGCTTTATAACATTCTTGTTAAATGTTATTTTATCTGAAAGAATTTCAAATTGATGTAATGTTTTGGCTTATAGGAACAAAATATGTATTGCACATAAAAATATATTTATTATTTTAAATTATTGCCATTCTTAGTCTGTAATAATATAAAATGGAAGAATATAAAAAAAACCAAAACCACTATTATGTGATACATTTTTAGAAAGCACTTTTTAAATAATAATCGAACATATATTGTTATTATTCAGTGACATCTAATATTGTAAAGAAATACGTAAAATTTTTCTAGTTTCCCTCTTCCCCACTTTAATTGTTTGTTGGATTGGATGTCACTTTCTTATAAAAATCTGATAAAGTTTCCAGAATGAAATTTTCAGAATAATATTTCCAAAAGGAAATTTGATTTAGATATTAATTTGCTTATTATATAAAATTGGTCAATATTTCATGAAAAGTTTGTTGTCTTTCTAATATTAAATTATATCAAATTTATTATGTTATATAACAACTGTGTTTGAAGTATCATCTCTAGTCTGATTTTTTAGTTGAGTGTTTTCATAATGTGCATAACTTTCCTAAAATATTTTCATAAAATAAACCTTTCATCTATAGCCTGATTACTCAAAAACTCCACTGAAGACTGATGAAGATGTTAACAATTGGTTAAAGTTTTACAACCAGCCAGCTCCTTTAGTATGTTTAAGTACTTTTATATCACATGATCCGGTAAGTGCTAGTTTGTTCCCTCAATATTTGATATACTTTTATTTATTAGAATTAGATATGAATATTGAAGTTTCAAAAACATTATTTTCGAATATCATGCTTATAATATTGTACAGAATAGTTTATGTAGAATGAAATTCTAGGGGAATGTATATATTTTTTTGTTGTTGTGAATATAAATTTGGGATTAATGTTTAAGGGTATGCCCAGCCAAAGCAGTTCAGTCATTAAAATACGAATTAAAAAAAATTCTGACGTGTACTAGATCAGCATTTTCCACATTTTCACACCTGTAGACTGGCAAAAATAGGAAAAATATTGCGTGAACCGGCATCAAACAAAGAAAAAAAAATATATAAATGGATATTTTGTTTATGTCTAATGCTATACAGATATAAATTTTAATTAGTGCAACATTTGATGCCACCTTTAAAAAAATGTTTTTTTGATGTGCATGGCTGCACGTTTGTGTCTGCAAGAGAAAGTGCTGTATTGGTATTCAATTGATTTCTTTGTTTGGTTTTTATTATGACCATAGTTGAAAACGTTTTTTCACATAAATAGAAATAAATAAATAGGAATGAAATATCAATGAGATAAAGATAAAATAGTTGTTTAATTCAACTGTAGCTACTAATAGTCCTTCTTTGCACATAGTATTATCAAACGTTCTTTCTGCATGAAAAAAAAGGTATTTTACATGGTAGATGCTTCATATGCAGGATCATCAAAATTTTCATTATTTTAAATTATTCAAATATTTAAGCGTTTGCATACATAAATATGTAAATATTTTTTCTATATTCTTATTTGAAGAAATATAGAATAGTATATAAGTTGTATAAGATATTTATTATTTTATTTGCAGGGTTTAGATTTAAGAGTTGAGCATACTCATTGCTTTAGTGATCATGATGTAGGTGGTCATTATCATGAAGACACTACTCCAGATATTGTAAAGTATGAAGGATATTTCAATGTAGCAGATTTTATTTACAGAATTGATCCACCAGCGGAAACACATCAAGTTGGGAGAGACTGAATATTCTGATACAAACTAAATGCATTTTAGGAGAATTTAACTGAGATCTATCTTATTGGTAGATCTGTATTAAATTTTCCCAAAATGATGCAGATGATAATTTGTTTGGATGGGGAGAGGAGGAAACATTTGTTTATTAAATATAGCCAATCATATTTTTAATGATATTTTCTAAATCTAAATTTATTGTTAGAAGCTACTTATATTCTGTCAGAACCTAATTTCTGGTCAATCAATCAAGAATTTCTGGTAATTAATCAAGAATTACAAGAATTTTCTAATTTACTTCAAAAGAAAAAAATATATGTATATACATTATAAAGATTTTTATACAACTGTGTGATCCTATCTAAGAAAAAAATTATATTTTGATACACATTACTTCATACATTATATCAAAAATTGATTTTGAAATGGTGCACATGAAAAGAATATATATGAATGTTATGTTTATTTTTGTAATAAAAGTATTTTTTCAAAAGTTGTTTATTGTATTTATTTTATTTTAAACTAGTTAAAATTTGTAGACAATTAAAATTTTGGTTATAAGAAGTCTTAAAAATGAAATCTCATTATCACTTTATGAAAATCTCCTCTTGTGGCACGCATCTGCACAGCTGTTGGCGTCGTCCGAGTAACCCTGGAATATTTCTAAGCATGATTCCTTGTGGTGCCGATGTTAGATTTCTGTTGCACTTGTTGGCTGAAATTTCAAACACCATCTGTGGCCTATCCTGTACTACTATAGGATGTGAGCACTTAGCTGTTCTGGTTGCCTTTAATCAAATGAACATGCACAATCTAAAAGCTAGCCTATTTGGTTTGTGATAGCAGTTTTTAATTATTTTTTGATGCCTTCTTATGCTCAGATATAAAAAACACAGTGAAGACAAATACAAAATGATTATCACAAATAAACAGGTTAATTTTGGTTAGATTGCGCATGCACATTTCATGACAATATTACAACACTGCTGACGGGTGTGACGTCGTGAATATCCTGGTGGAGCTTCTGGTCTCTCTCCAAGACCAAAGATCACTCCTATTCTGCTCCTAAACCATTAAGATCGGATCAACCGAGTTGCCATCCAGAGTTATGGGATACTGTCTGGAGGTCATTGCATCGGCTAATACATATACACAAAAGACTTCAGTCCACAGCACTGGAATTGACAACAAACAAGATAAGCTACTGTGCCACTTAATTTTATTTCTAATTTTAATAGCATTTGAAAAGAAGATACGATAAACTTTTTTTTTATAAATAATAACATCATTTATTTACAGAATTTAAATCTGTATTTATAAAACATCAAAGATTAGCAAAAAATTTATGCTTCTATTATTACTTTTTGAACATTCAAAAATAAAAATGTAACAGGCCATTAAATCATGTAGGCCCTTAATAATTGTTTAATCTTACCTATTTACATCTAACCACCAGATGCAATATAAATCTTATTCAAAGATTTTGAAGATACAGATTTTATTAATTTTTATTTGTACTTGTCAAAAAATAAATGAGCTCAGTTATAAATTTTTGTTCCAAGCATAATAACTTTTTTTTTTTTTTTTTTATGTGACGTTTTTTTTTTTTTTTTTTTTTTTTTTTTTTTTACAGTTGAAAGTTAATAAGAAAAGAACCCATTTGACCAATGAGTATTTACAATCGGTAAAAAAAATAATTTCTAGTAATTTCTTTGGAACTCTCAAATTTAGTTTCAGCTTTATAAGAATCAAAATGCCATCAAGTGTCAAGCTATAATAAGAAATAAAGAAGTTTGTAATTATTTACACTTGAACATACATATTTTTATTTATGTATCAAAAGGAAAGTTTTATAAAAATGTGAAAGATTAAGTTGCTTTTATTTATTCTCGAATTTTGTTCCATTTAATAATTTTTTTCTGAAAAATTAGAAAGATTTTTAGCTTAATTATATTTATTTATTAGTTTAAATTAAATCAATTAATGATAATTAAGATAGTTAGAATTATTTGAAAGAAATGCCAGCTTACAAGTTTAATATTTTTTGGTCAATATATTTGAATTAAAAAGTGTAAACCAAAAACAAAAAAAAAGTCTTACGTGTCCCCCAACTTTAGATTTTAGGTAAAAAATAAATATAAATTTGAATTTTTTTCTTTGCGACATTATTATTATTGTTTATGCATGTTTGGATGAATATTTGGTAAGCGAAATTAAAAATTTATTTTTTATTTTGTTAACAGCACTTCATTTTGTAACAAAAAAGGGAGAAGGGGGGGAAGTCAGTCCTGTCAGCTCTTTTCAGATTGTGCATTCAGTTTCCATGCAATATGAGTATGAGACCACTGATTTGAGCTGTAGTTTACCTTCGGTACTCATCAATTCCTTCACTAAGAATCGTAGAAGGTTAAGTCTAATATGCGGATGTACCATTTGTATGTACGAGATCTATTATTGTGATATGCAAACGTACCATTCCTATCTGCGACACTTACAATTTATCTAGGAAATGAAAAATAACCAATAGCGCATGCTATTATTTCAGGACATGGGTTGACACCACCTTAAAGTCCATCACTGCAGACTTTAAGGTGGTGTCAAGGTTAACATTGTGGAAATCAATAAATCTGGGCAGAAGTAGTGTTTAAAAAATAAAAATTAAGAATTCAAAAGCACGGTTACTTTTCAGAAAACAAAAAGCAAAAAAAAAAAAAAAAAAAAAAAAACTAATACTCGATATTAGATAGTCAAAATGAATACTCTTGTTGAAAAGTACTCATTGTAGATTTTTCGCATGAATGAAAGATAATGTTTTGATGCTGATATATTTTACGAAATCACATCAGTGCGAACCATTATCTAAAACCATTAAGCGACTAAAATTAAATTATTTTGCATTTAAAAGATAATTATATTTGAGAGGTTAAGATAACTAACTATCATCTTATTTTTTTCATTCTTTACATTTGAAGCCAATCATGTTCAATTGAACTTTTAAAGAATTAAAAGGATGCTTGCAACGGCCCCTTGTTGTGTAGTTCCCAGCACAACCAACAGACAGTGAGGCATACTTGGACTCTATTCTCAATGAAAGTTCAGTTGATTTTTCAGAATTTCTCCTTGCGAAAACACTGAAAATTCGAGAAAGTTAACTTTTCTTGTGTTATATATGCAGTGCAGTATTTACGTATAAGCTATTCAAGCTATAGCTTAGGGCCCCCACTTTCTTGGGGGGGGGAAATTGTCCTTTTATTATTTAAAATAATAAATGGCAGCACTGGAAAAATGTTCTTGAATGAGTTGTGGTAGTTATAGTTACTATAGCAGAGCATGGTTAACCTTTCAGAGGAGAGAAAACATTTGGTTCTCCTCACAGTGGCAATTTCCTTGGATTACTGATCCATTTTAAATTTTATTTTGTATTTATTTTTCAAACATAACATGGAAGAAAATCCTTGTTGAAACAAATAGGTTGTGCAAAGAGAGAGTAAAAATTTAATAGCTATATTTGAAATACCTTTAAATTCTTTTTCTGTTCAGCCAAAAATTGACAAGTGCGTTACTTTTTTAAATCTTCAGTTAGAGTTCGACCACAGGAAATTTCTATCAATTGTTCTTTTTCTTTGCGAGATAAAATTTCAGGTAATTTGAACAAAATGGATTTTTAATCCAATGTTCATTTTCGTAATTATCGAGGAAAATACATGTTGAAATTATTTTTTAATGAAAAGCAATGATTTTTAATGTCATATCCTAATTCTTCTTTTATTTTCAAATTATTTTCGGTTAGAAAACTTTCTAAAAGGGGTAAAAAGATTAAAATATTATTATCCAATTTTTGATTATTATTTTTTTTATTTTCGAGGTTTTTTATCATTGCTTTTATTTTATCTCTAATGGTAAAAAGATTAACACAGCCCTTGTAATCCTAAATTTAACTCATTTAACTTCCCCAAAACATCAAATAAATATTCTAAACTCGCCAATCATAATTCACTTAATAAACATTTCTGCAATTCAAATTTTGAATCACAATGGAAAATTTGAATTTCTGATCGAAGTTCAAAAAGATGATTTAAAACTTTGCCTCTGGGATAACTAACTTACTTCGGAATATAACGAAAGCTTTTCATGACTATTCACTGACCATCTCTTTGCATTAAATCATAAATATTCTCGAATTTAAACACCGGCTTTTAATACAATTAACAATTTTCACAGCTTGATTCAAAACGATTTTCAGGATTTCGGGGATTGTTTTGGCTACTAAAGTTTCATGCTTCACAGTGAATGGAGCAGTGAGTAAATTTAGTTTCTGGTTCAACTTTCTTTATTTGAGAAACAGCACCTGAATGTTTTCATGTTAAAGCCCGAGCTCAGTCATTGCATACAGCAATGCACATTTTTTTTGTTTTTGTTTTGTGCTGATTACGTGCTTTGCCCTTAAGCACTATATGAAAAGTAAGGTATGCCCGTGGAGATCTTTTTAAAGGACAAAGGCTCGTGTCCACGTTACATATGGGGTAAAACCACGAAAGCGCCTATGCAGTCAGCCCGTTCGCCGGGACTCGAAACCCGGACCAAATTACCAGTGTTCAGAGGCATTAACCTGCTGGTGGGCACGGCAATGCACCTATTACAAGGAATAATCATTCTCAAACAAAAAATTGTCATTTACTTTGAAAACATTTTATCTAGTCGTTCTATTATGAAGAGATAATAAATACTTTTCAGCAATTCGTTTATCTTCTTTGAAACGTATGTAAACTAATAATTAAACAAAGTTCGTTATATCAGTTCTTTCATCCAGCTCTAATGCGAAATATTCACTGTATTTTTTTATTTCTGGAATTAAGTGTCCCTTTTATGGAATTTGTCGATTTATTGTATCATTTGATAACAGAATTTGTCGATTTATTGTATCATTTGATAACAGAATTTTATCAAGTTCATTAGGCGCTTTTTCATTGAATAATGTTAGAACGATATCTTTAGCTGCTGGTAATAAAAGGCTTTCTTTGATAGTGTGAGTCTGCACATTATTGGCAATTCTTAATAAGCCTAAGAATAACAGCTAGTAACTAACTAGCTTCCAAAGCTTTTTCACTTGAAGTAACAAAACCTTTCATTATTTGTTTACTATTCTTGAACTCCAATAATTTCCTCTTAACGTATTCTTCAGATTTATCCTTAAAATTGTCATTTAATAAACGATAGTTTCATACTTTGATTAGATAATAGTTCACCATAAACAACACTTTGATGTTGAGGGTGCATTTGATCTCCATTCCAAGAAAACCCAATTGATAAATAATTTTCATTATATTCTCTATAAACAATTTTTATTTTCTTTTC